CCTGATCTAGTGGGAGGTGTCCCTCCTGTCCCAAGGACTCGATTCTTAGGAGTCAAATACATATTTAAGTTTTCTTTGGTGCTTTTTTTCCACTGCAAGTTTTTTTGATGTATTTCTGATAGGGTATGACATGACCTATTATTTTTGCCACAAGATTTGTGTTTATGTGTTTAGCACTATTTTTCCAATAATGACTCAAACTATCATAAAAGAGTTTTCTGTACTACCTTAGCCTTGAATACAGGGAGAATAAAAAAAAAAGGTATAGAAAAAATGAAATTAGAATGGCAAATAATACAGAGGGTTTGTATTTCAGCCTTTCGATTCTGCTCACACAATTTTAAAACAATGGGCTCAAGCTGCTCCATCAACACCAGGCTGAATGATGCCCTTGCCTTGTTCATTGTGACACTTCATCCTTTCTCATCTAAATCTCTGCAGGAGCCCCAAGTGTCACATACAGTCACTCAAGGTAAGAGAAAGCACATACTGGGACTAGTTCACACTTTATGTGGTAGCTTACGTGCTGCTACCAAACACTAGGGATAATGGGTAGGTTTTCTGACCTGCTCTATAAATCTGCTGAGTTATATTTCTTTATTTCAATTGGGCATAAATTTTCTCAAAATGTGTGGACTTCTGTTTGACTTCTACTCTCTTGCATAAGTTGTTTCATAAAGTGGATCAGTGGAGGGGTAAAGACAATGAGTGCACATTTGCATAGACATTGCTCCTTCAGATACCAACCCAAAAATGACTGAAAGATTTAAGACAGTCTCTGTCTCTCAAGTATTTGGCAGACTGGAAGTCTGTGCTACAAGCAGGTCTTCTAAACAACATAATGCAATTAAATAGACTCAATGCAATTCATATATACTGCTTTGTGGAAAAAATATTACTTTAATTCATAGGTATCGCCCAAAGAAAAGTGTCACTTCAAGTTTCACAGACAAGAAGTTATACTTGAAATTTCTTTACACACCTGTGAGCTTTCTAGTCAGGCATCAATACTGAAGGAAATAGCAACCATAAAACTGAAGAACAAGAACTGGAATTTCACATAATGAAAACTGACACTCAGAACATTCAGTCTAAAACAAAGTCACTATTTTTAACAGAGGGCATGATTAATGACTATGACAATTTATTTAGAAATCAGATGGATGCTCTGTCACCTGAAGTCTTTAAATCACGTCTGCTTAGCCATTCCTAAAAAGATACACTACAATCCAGTGGACATATGATGCAAAATTACTAGAATAGGTTACGGCCCATACTCTGCAAAAGATCAGACTTTGTGATCATTGAGCTTTTGCTTTTGTCCCAAAGACATTTGGCTTCTTTCAGTTCTGGATCTTGCTGAAAAAAAAATGTTATAAGATTTTATACTGAATGTGAAAGCTTCCACAAAACACAGCTAATAAAAACCTTAAGACAATTTCTGATATCTTACTACAGTAATAAAAGTCATGTTTTCTGGTTTATTTCTAATCACAAACAGCAATAACCCCAGACTACAGAGGTGTTTTCTATCATGCCACTCCTGGGAAGCCTGTCTTCTAGAGAAGAATAAAGCAGACAGAAAACTACTTTATATTCCACTGGTTAAATTGACCTGGCAGAGCTGATATTTGAACAAAAACTGCCTGGCTTCCTAATTCAGGAAGACAAGACTCATAAATAGCAAAACATCTTTCAAATTCATTTATTTGTGAAACAACTGAAGAACACTAGAGGTGTGCTATTAAGATCCTCTGCAGTGCTGTGCTACAGAAAGGGACATGGGGCAAAGAGAAACTGTCAGCATTGAAGAGGCTGAAAGTCCCTGAGAAATCAGACACTACATTCCTGGTGGCAAATGTTATCTTATTTTTCACAAGTGTCCGAACTGCCTGAAGAGTTTAATGGGGTGGACTTAGTAAGGAAAACTGCTTAAGACTTCACAGGCAGAGAGTTTCCACTGGAGCCAATGGCAAAACGTGTTTTCCAAAGGTAAAGAGAATTTCCTGGAACACTTCTGGAAGTGTAACAAGCAAGGCAAAAGAGCATAAGCCTTGGATTTATTTGTACCAGTCAAAAAGGGAGGTGCATTAAAAAGGAACATGCAGTCACCTCAGCCTTTACAGAACATTATGATAGTCTGAAACCAGATAAAAAAGGCTCCTGGTAATAACATTGCCTCCAAAGTCAAGGTTTCAGCCTGACCTAGCAGCAAATGATAACAGCATATAGTTCCTTGCATGCAATTAAATGCTTAAAACCAATTTCACACTTTTAACCCAAATCCAGCCAAGGCTAGCTCCTGAACAGCTACAGTGCTATTCTTAACAGTGCCAAATTTCAAGGCAGCCTCATCTGATTGCAGTAATTACTCACACATATACATATTTTGTTCAAGAAACAGAACAAACTCACATGTAAAAATAAATTCAACTTTGCTGAATTTCACTATTTGGACATGCCAGATGGTGAAAACAAAACAGAGAGGTTTTGAAATGAAATCCCATGCAGGTACTTTTTTACAGCACTACAGAAAAAGACCATTTTTTTCTTTATAGTCTGATCATGCTTCAAATTTCCTTTTACTTCTAAATCACTTACAACCTGTCTCCTTCTCTCAGCCAGGAATCAGCTGCGAATTGCACTCGGTAAGTAAAATCTTGATTCTTGCATATGAAATTTAGATTTATGTGCAGCACCTGCTTGTTATTGACCAAATTATTTGAAAATATTAGAAAGTAATAACAAAAGTGATTTACTAACTCATGGCAGTACTACAGTAACTTTGGTAATATTGGAGTAACTACATACTTGCTATAATAGGTATCGTATCAATGTAAAAGGGATCATCTCATTTATACATACAGATAGGAGTCTACAAAAACTTCATATATATTCTGAAGATGCAACAGCATTGTGCACTTTCTGTGAAAGGATAATGCTAACGAATATACACAATTTTTAACAAGAATTTAAATTAAATGGCTAATAAAGAGTGCAATGGAGTTTCAGAAGGTTGGGTGAGGAACAAAGATCAAGCCATTGACTCATAATGAAGGTCTGTACAACTTCCTGGATTTGTATCTCACTTTTTCTGTTATCATCACAGAAATATTAAAATTAGGGCACTCATGCATGTGCCATGTGTGTGGCTACAGAGGATACAGGCTCAGGCTTGCCACTGGCTGACCCCACCTAGGGACACGTGGCTGCAGCAGCCTGGCCTCCACTGGGCTGTGAGATTCAGCAGCTCCTAACAATATTCTCACAGAAGCAACCAGTAAGGGACTTAACCACAGAACTATCTGTATTTTCACATTTCTGTTGAGATCAACAATTCTCTGTAAGAAAATAAAGGGATATAAAGCAACACAAAATTTCAGAAAAAAAATGAAGTATTCCAGAAATGTCCTCCTTTCACAGAAATCAATTTTGCAAAGTTTTGGGTCATGTCACAAATGTTGTCTCCCGGGAGTAAACAAAATTTCTAAGTAGCACTTAGTGTTCAATTGAAAAATGCTTAATAAGGTCCTATATAAAGCCAGTATTTATTGCCCTAAAATAAACTTGAATTGAATAAACGTGCACTTACCATCAGCAGTATGAAGGAGTTTGTGGCTCTTCAAAGTGCCTTTTGATTTAAACTTTTTCCCACACATATCACAAAGGTGTGTTTTCTCAGTGCTGTGACGATTCATATGGGCTTTCAAGTTACTCTTGCTGCGAGTGGCATACTCACAGAGAGAACATTTGAAGGGTTTGACACCTAAAAATATAAAAATGTAGTATGAAACAAACAAGCTGTACCATTTGATGAGAGGGTGGACATTTGCTTGCAAGAAATTTCAGATCATGTGAGCAACATAGACAATAAGGTCATCATTTTAAAATTTGGATCTGTTTTCAAATTTCATCTAGAGCTTCTGTGTGAATGATACTGAGCTCTTGACAGCATCATTTATCTTACTAAGGAGAGGTTCTTCAACAAGTTATTCTCAACAAGAATAAGTACAGAGTCCTGCACCTGGGCTGGAAGAATAAAGTGCACCAGTACAGGTTAGGAGAGCTAACCTCTACTGCTAGAGAGCAGCTCTGTGGAGAGGGACCTTGGAGTTCTGGTGGACAACAAGTTGCCCATGGGACAGCAGTGTGCCCTTGTGGCCAGGAGGGCCAATGGTCTCCTGGGCTGCTTGAAGAAAAGTGTCTGCAGAAGAACAAAGGAGGTCCTGCTCCCCCTCTACTCTGCCCTGGTGAGACCTCACCTGGAGTATTGTGTCCAGTTCTGGGCTCCCCGTTTCAAGAGGGACAGAGATCTACTGGAGAGAGTCCAGCGAAGGGCTACGAGTATGACTGGGGGACTGGAACACTGGCCTTATGAGGAGAGGCTGAGAGACCTGGGGCTTTTTAGTATGGAGAGGAGAAGATTTGGGGAGGAATCTAATTAATGTCTATAAATACATGAGGGCTGGGTGTCAAGAAGAAAGGGGTAATCTCTTCTCACTTATGCTCTGCAATAGGACACGGGGCAATGGTCACAAGCTGGAGCACAGGAAGTTCCACCTCAATATGAGGAAGAAGTTCTTTACTGTCAGGGTTCCAGAGCACTGGAACAGGCTCCCCAGGGAGGTTGTGGAGTCTCCTACCTTGGAGACTTTTACGACCTGTCTGGCTGCGTTCCTGTGTGACCTGCCCTGGACTAGATGGTCCTGCTCTGGCAGGGGGGCTGGACTTGAATGCCAGAGGTCCCTTCCAACCCCTGACATTCTGTGATCCTTCTGTCCATCCTTCATTTAAAAGAAGAATTCAGAGTGCCTAAATTGATGCCTATCTGGTGCACATATCCTCAAATCTTCCTCAAAAGTCTTCAGATAATTATCATTCTCCAGTTATTACAATAAGGAATGAAGAACCCACGTTTAAGTAGGACTGGTTCATTAGGTACTTAATATGTAAGCAGAAGTTAAATCTGCAACTCTTTTATTGTTAATTGGTGTCATATTTGCTAATGGCTCACACAGCAGTTTATTTTCTCCCTCTTCAGTAAGATGCAAGCATGTAAAATTTCACTTCTCCCAAAGAGTCCAAAGCATGTAATAGCGAGATGCACAGTATGATATCTAGCAGAAGGTCTACAAGAGCAAAGTAGAGAAAAGTAGAACAAAATTCTGTGAAATCTGAACTAGCAGAGTAGTTCAACAGTTTCATGAGGCTCTGGCAGTTTTAGAATGATTTTCATGACCTCAAAACTAGATTTACAAGCCTGAGGAATGATAGCCTATTTTAAGCAGACTTGATTGCACACTTTGATTTGGGAACAGATGTCTATTCACCTCCTTCTCCTGCTAGTGAGATGAGTTCCAAACTTTCTTAGCAGAATAAATAAAATGTACCTATGGAATACTCAAGTAATTGCTCTAAACCTGAAACTTTGGATTACTTCAGCTCCTTTACTGGACTGAAGGCTACCAGAGAGGATCACTACTATAGGACATGAGTAGGAAAGCTCATAGTTAAAGCATTCAAGCAAATCTGAAGTACTAGTATATAAATGTCTGAGCTATCTGCATGGGAACAAACTCTGTGGAACCAGAATACTGGCTTGAAAGTAACAAATCCCATTATCCCATTGGATAATTTAGCCAGAGAAATGGCTAAAGAATCCAAAACAATTCTCAAAACACCACAGGCAATCTGTTCCATAGATTATTTACTGATTGAAAAGCATATGAGTGGTCTTCCCCCTGCTATAAAAATAGACACACTTGGTAGACATGAGATTTTACTGGGCACAGATTTTAAGTTCAAGGGGTTTTTAACCTGTGTGTTGCCACATTACTGGAATTTCTCTCTAAAAAGTCGTAGATAAGCTTTATCTTATGGATTTTTCACTGGAGTTTATGTCCATGTCAGCTAGCTGCCATGCTCAGCATGATTTAACTAAAATACACTCAGAATTTATATATATACATCCAAGCAACTGGATTTCAATTGTTTTAGCAATAAGATTTCCATACCAAGTATTTTCAGATAAGTATGAAAGGACCATGAGAAGATACAGAAAATTACCTGTTTTAAGAGACTATGTTTTTAATTCACTCTTTCAAACTATTATACAATACTTTATAACTGTTTATGAAGGGGCTTTACTAAAAAATGAATCAGAAATGTATTAATCTTATGAAACATTTAAACTGTCTTTTCATGTTATGAGTGTGCAGTTCCACATGTGATATAGAAACTATTAAACTAATTTTTTAATCTTTACTGTAGCTTAAAGGTTTTGATTCAGGTATAGCAATAAATTTCAATTCTTTTTAATGTCAGTAAAGCTTTGTGGAATATAAAACTGATTATATGCCCAAGAGCTTAAAAGCAGAGTTTTACCTTCATGAGCCCAAATATGACGTTGAAGGTCTGATCCATTCTTCATAAAATAAAAATCACAGTAGGGACATTTCACAGCTCGTTTTCCAATAAGTCCTTTCAGCTGTACTCTTCTGCCAAGAATCTCAGAAATAGTAGTCATTGAAACCTCTGAGAGAAATGTAAAAGGTAGTAAAAACCAGGGCGTAAGGGAATCTGGTTTTTAAGTGATACTGAAGAGCTATATCCTGATCTGCTCCAACTTTTTCAAAGCTCTACCTTCCCTACTGCCACTCAGAAAAGACCTGAGCAAAGAACATAAAGACCTTTTTTTCCTTCAGGGCTTCTAGGATGTTCTGTCCTTTCTCTCCTGATCTGTGTACTCAATGTCCCCACTGCCTGGGTAAAAAGAAGCATTTTAAAATTTAAAAAAAACAACAACTTGGGTTTATGACTATCTTAGAAATCATTTTCCAAGTACCAACTTTACCAATAAGCTATTTTGGCACTTTTTCTTCAAAATTTTCTAGACTTGAAGATTTCACCCTAGATTTCCAGACATCAAGGACCTGAAGACAATTCCCTTCAGTCACAGCTATAATGGTCAGAATGCCTGATAATCAGGAACTTTAAAGGCAAAACCAGACTCATGGAATAAATACACTTGGAAGGGACCTCTAAGGTCCCCTACTCCAAGAAGGGCTAACCTGGAGTTCCACCTTCAAAGTTACATCAGATTGCTTGGGGTCATATCCAGCTCTGAATATATCCAAGGATGGAGATTCTACAGCCTCTCTTGATCCATTTGAGTGTTTGACCACCTTTACAAGCAAAATTCTTTTCCTAATTTCTCATCAGAAGCTCTTTGCTTCAACTCATGCCCCTTCACTGTACTGCTCCAAGAAGATACTGGCTGCTTTCTTTCTAATCTCCTGTTATAGACATCTGAAGACAGCAACTAAGTTTCTCCTGCTCGCCTTCACTTACTCAGGCTAAACATTCAACCTTCTCAGTTTTTCCTTCACACAATTTAAAGTGTTGGTTGTCACAGAGGAAAAGCTCAAAATAATGAAGTTTAAATGAACAGGTCCCAAGCACACATGACAAAAACATTGCCAAATGGTTTTAAAAAATAAATTCAATTACTCTCTATATTTCAGTTGTATAAGATGTTAAATACCACAACTCAGTGAAAGTACAGTACTCATGCAATTTAAACAATAAGACATGCACACAATTTTTTTTATTATGTCCAAAATCTTATAAAATTTGGAAGTACAGTCTAAACTCAGATTTTGATCAAATATGAACTAGTCATGAACCTAGTCTCCAAAGGAATGGTCCCAGAGTGGATTCAAAAATCCTGCCTGAACTCATATGCAGAAAGATAATAGAAAAGCCATAAACTGAGCAGAGTTATGTTCTAAAGGACCCAAAAAAGAAAACTACAGACACAAGTCTAAGCCCTCACCTGCCTTCTATGGCTTAGCTCCTTCATTCACGACTGCAGCCTAGTATGTCTGCTCAGTTGGGATCTATGAAAGATGATGCCTCGTGTCTCAGGACTGTTAACAAATACCACATTAAACCAGACAGTGGATGAACAGGTAGATAATTCTGAGAGCTGGGATGAGAATCCAAGACTCCTTCCATGTCAAGTGCCTGAATCATTTGGCTATAAAGCCAAGCTCTCTTATCTCTTTGGTTTGAAATACTGCTGTAGAAAAGTCTACAGAGATTTCCATCCCATTGCTTCACGGGACCAGAATTCAAGCCCTACTGTTTGCAATCCTAGAAAAGGAGTACTGTTTTGTTTCATACTCTCTACCTGACAAAATAGAAGAGATAAAAGAGGGGTCATGCTGCATGACATTAAGAAGGAATGGGAGCAGAGCTCCACAAATAGCATTTTCATGATAAATATGAAAGGGTTTCAGTTTATTTTTAATATGTTATTTTAAAATTAAATTCCTTTTAACAGCACTCATTTTTCCTTTCATTTTTATTCTTTTCCATTTACATTCTAAAAATAATTGCACTCAATTCCACTGCAGCACTTGATAGCTTATACCACCAGACTCCTTACATTTATTTGGCTTGTAATTAAGTATGTTGTACAAATAAAGGGTTTCCTTCTAATTATAAGGACAATAAGCACAGGAGAAAGATTTGTGCATTAATTCTCTTCCATACATTAACAGTGTTGTTGCATAACTACTGCAAAGGCATATCTTAGATGTACTATTTCTTTAGTACCAGGGAGGTATAGCTAATTAATCTGGTATTTTGCTTCTCAGTTCTCTTCACCTGTGATACACAAATTAAAAATGAATACACAAAATAATAGGTTGTGCTGATTTTATTTTTTAAACTTACCTCTATTCTAACTCAGAGTTAAAAGAACACACTTTCCTAGATAAAAAAAAGTACACTATACATTTAAGAGAATACAGATACCAAGTGTATTGTTTAAAAGTATTTAAATGCAGTTTAGCATGTCAGAGCTCCACTGTTAGCTGCTGTTTCTGGACTCCCAGACACAGTAGATACTACCAGTGTAGACCAATACAGGAACCAGTGGAGACCAAGAGCAAACTACAAGCACATAATGTACTGGTTCACAGATTTGGGGAGGCCTCCTGTACTGCCTGGCTGAGACAGCACAAAGGCTTCACAGGCACAGCTCTTGAGATTCAATGTCTATGCTTACTGGGTGACATACCTCCTGACTACAGTATGGCACAGAAGCCTTTTCTCATCTCACTTTGCTGCATCAGACATGTCCTCTGATGTATGACAAGCCCTCCAACCACACTGTTGTAGAGTGGTCTGCAAACAAAGAGGTTTGGTAACTAAAGAGCTAAAGTGGGAGTTAGTCTGAAATTAAAGTGAATGAAATAGTTTAAGACACGGGTCTGGCACTATCTAGTGGCAGTAGGAAACTACTGCTTTACCTGTTCTGCATTTCTGACAAAGACAAGAAAAGTTACATCATTTTAACTGGATTTTCTTTTTTTCCCCCACTCAGTTTGAGCATGGCCAGTATTTTCTTTCTAATGTCAGGTGATAAGTAACACTGTAGATACATTAATTAAAGTCTGCTGGCCAATGCAATTAACTCTTCCTCATCCACAGCAGCAGCTGCTCCTCCTACCCAACGTAACAGTGACACTGAGAAGGAAGGGATGGACACGCCGAGTTCCCACCAGTCAGATTTAACTCAGTCCCTGAAGCAGTCACTTGAGCACTTTGGGACTGAATTCCCCAGATTTGAGAACAGCACAGCACGCTGACTTACCACGTTCATTTTACATTGTGCTTGCACTGCTAAGTCAGGGCACTAGAGTGCAAGGTATAAACAGAGTTTGGATGGACTGCAGTGGTTAGCTCAGATTCAGCCAGGCTCCTCAGCTCTAGCTTAGCACTGGCCATACTACATGCCAGCTGGTTCCACTAAGAGCACTGCTGCAGTCTCAGCTGGCCCTGGAGGGAAAGCCCAGCAGCACACTGACAGCACCTGCAGGGTCAGCTCAGGGGCCTCTGCATTCTCATCAATGACCTGCACACAATGGAACGTGCAGTAAATAAATTTATGCACAGCCAATTTGAGTTTTGTGTTTCATGGTACAGGGTTTCTATATGTCTAGTGCCGAACTTCCCCATGCTTAATTTGAATCCAACTAGGTCCTCTTTGAGAAGTAAATTCTTTGCCAGATGAAGAGAGAACTCTTAGCACAATTACCCAACATTCCACACTACACAAGCTGGAACAATGTCTGCAAATCAAATACAATTCTTACTCTCAACTAGTTAAATTAGCCATAGACTCTTCACTTCCTTTGGAATATCACCACATTACACTGCTCACTCTAAACCTTTATCCATTATTTGCAAAATACTGAGAAATCTTCCTTAATTTTTTCTTACCAGGATGATTTGTCTTGATGTGAGATTTTATAAGTCGATCTTCAGAAAATGACTTCTTACACACAGGACAGGAGTAACTCTTTTTATCCTTAAACAAGCAAGCAAGAAAGAGAATGCATTATCCCTCCACTGGTGTAATCACTGTAGTCATTACCCCGTAATACATGGTTCTCAATAAAGTTATAATTGAAGGTTCAGTTCTTAAGGAAGAAATTAAGATATTTTTAGTGAAATCAGTGCAGGAGAAATATTACAAGCATTCTAAGCACATCATTAATTCTTATGAATGAGAGGCTCCATGTTACAGCACATGAGAATATGCACAATAAATGTAAGCATTATCTTCCGACTCTATTTAGAGAATCAAGAGTTGAAAGATCATACCACCTAACAGAAGAAAACATATTTGATGTGGGCAGTAATATTCAAAGCTTTTCCATTCTTTTCACAAGTCCACCCTTCTGAAACAGAAGGATCAGATCTCATTACTCTGAAGACTTCCCCCAGTGTGTGTATTTGCAATACTACTTAGCAGCCTGAAATTGAGCAGAAGAGTTAACAATGATAGATGCCATCACTTATCCAGAGTCTGCAATTCTAACTGCTTTATAAATATCCAATTATTTTACTATTTTGATTGAAAAACTTAAAGACTACTCTGGCTTAGTGTTACTGATGTTATAAAAGGTTTATCACCATCAAAAGAGGTTGAACTGGACAGTTTTGGTGCAATTTCTTCCTATATACAATTTTAGTGTGACTGTAATTTTGATGTTTTACTCCACATGAAAATGTATGATTTTTCTCCATTAACTGGTAAATTACCCAATTTAAAATAATCTTTGCTCCTTACTAAGTAAATTGAAGAGGTTGTTCTTTCCAGGGGCACCTGCTGACACCACAGATCGGACGCTCAATCAGATGAGGAGGTCATCTACTCACCTCTGCACTCACCAGGCTAACATAGGAGTGGATTATCCAAACAACAGATGGAGTGAAGTCTAGTTAGTCTTGACAAGCACACAGATAACATATTCCCTCACGGGAGATGTGTATCTATCAAACTACCAAGAGACCAGTGTAAAAGACGACCTGAAGCTATGGACCCGACATTTCACTAGTTATTGAACAACAGAAAACTTCCTGAAGACTGTGGAAGGAAGATTACTGTGTCAAGAAGAGAGACCCATGTGTTATGGAAGACAAATTTGGAGGTACCAGGAGAATAAGGGTCCTGGACTATAGCAGTTTCTGACCTGAGACCAAAGAGCATCTCTGACTAGCAAGGAAGAATGTACAAGAAGGTTATTACTGTCTATGTGCCCCAGCTATAGATCTCTACATGAACTTCTCTCTTAAAGGAAAAGCAAAAATTGATGGGTTTTCATGGTAATGGATGAACTGCAATATGATTAATATATTTGCATTCAGTATCATGCCTCTGAGAAAGAAATTCCTATGTTGAAGTACCTACAAGTTAAAACCAGAAGTAGCCCTAGAACTCATGGGCTGAAAGAGCAGTAAATAATTTCATGACAGCAGGATATGGGATATGAAGTTTTCATTGCTATTAACAAGGCAATGGCACAAGAAGAATTCTGTCTGTGCTGCGAGAAGCTGATTTGTTCCTGTGAGAAGATCTGCAGCAGGGCCTGGGACAGCAGCTTCTACAGTGTTATCACCTTGAGTAGAGCAAGGACAGTATCTTGCTACGATGGAGTTGAAGCACTCACCATCTTGAGCCCTGAGAATCCCCAGTGAAGAAGCAACAGCAGAGAACACTAGCTGGTTTTCAGAAGAAGGGATTCAAGGAGCCTGCAACGCTGACAAAATCTTCTTGAGAAGAAGCTGGTCATTTGTGGAATTACAGTTTCTCAAATGATAGAATCTATTATCCCTAAACTGGCTACTGCTGATTTTTTAATTCTAACTGAACACATTATTCAGAGGAAAACTGCTAGATTAATTGTAATAAAACTCTATAGTAATATTTGCATCTCTTCAGACTGGACTGCAGGATCACATTCATAATTTGGTACATACAAGAGAAACATAAGGACAGTATCATTTAGGGACTGATGAGGGGTCAACTGAAATTTGTTGACAGATCCCAGTCTGTTCCTCAAACTTGCTATGGAACCTGCTTCAAAATATACAATAAATGAAGAAAAATAAAGTATACTTTGAAGGTACAGTTGGGTGTTTCTGATCTTTAATACTCATTGTATTAAGTATTTCTCACTGTGCTTGGAATACTAAGGCAAATATACCTTGTGGTTTCATAATGTTCAAGAAGAAATAAAAAAAAAAACCCCAACACTCCACACATACACTACTTTACTTAAAGTGCTGTAATTGTGACAGCTTTCAGCTTTACATTCACTAATACTCTTCAGGAAGGCAAGGGTATAAGCCTAAGCCTGAGGGGGAAAACAGCATCAGTAAATGCACCCAGAGCTATAGAACAGTGTGGAAGTACAGGCACCAAGAACATAACTTTCCACAGGACAACGGTAATAATTTTTTTTTTTTCAATAACAAAATAATCCAAACAGCTTTCCTCATGCAGCTACAAAGTTAACGATACCAAGTTCTGCAGTAAATGATCTTCAAAAGGGTCTCTTTTGTTGTGTAGCAAAAATACTGTGCTTCTGAGCAGAGAGTCCCTTCAATGTGTATCTGTCAAGCTCCAGTGCCTTGCACAAAGCATCCAGCTAAAGCCAAACCTTCCACTGTTGTTCATCCAGGTCAGTGCCACAGAATTTTGCAGCTTTATGTTATTAGTTTTGACTGTTTAAATGTACTTCTGTCACTGCACTGAGAGCTTGTGGCAGTGCCTGTCCTTCAGTGTAATCCCATCACACTCAGAACCAGCCCTTAAGAAATCCTGTCACAAACAAAGTGTTTCAGAGCACTCGGGTCACAACACAGAGCCTCACAGAAGGTCTCCCCCACCACAGCTCTGGCTCTTCAGAGTCACAGGTGAAGTCTTCACCTTGTCATAGGTTGCAGTAAGAACTTCAGTACATTCTCAGCATGCAAGGCTTCCTCTGGTAAGAACAAAAGTTGTTTATCCTGTGCCTTATCAGAGCTACTGCCTTCTAAATACCTTTGAGGGTTCTTTTTTGAAGGACACAAACAGAAGCAAAGTATCAGGAGAGTTGAATCTACTTTTATTAGAGACCAGCTGCACAGTCCAATCAGCTACTTAAATTTCAAAGTCACTTCCACACTTCCTGAGATTAACATCACCTTATTAACCGATTTAAGAAAACGCAAGAAACTTAAATTTATTTTTTTTTTAAAGCTTTCTGACTGAAAGTACTGTTCACATGCCACAAAGCAGGAACAAATTAGGTCCATATATATTCTTAAACCTAGTGAAAAGATTAGTCTAATACAAACACAGAACTTTCTTGTTTATGCTATGTTTCATTATAAAATAAGGCCATTTACATGGAAATCACAATGCCCTTCTCTTGATGTAAATGAATTAAAATTGTGCTGAGCAAGCATCAGCTATACTGCATTAGCAATTTAGAGCTCTCTGAAGGAATTTTGTTTCTCAACGGCATGTGTTTCATGATAATCCAAGGGGGAGGTGTTGTAATACATAGTCATGAAAGGAAAAATGAAAAGCCTCTGTATATGTAGTCCCCTCCCTTTAGCAGCAGTGGCATGATTTTATGACCAAGAAATAAAACAAATCTCTACTAAATATTGGTAGTCTGAGAACACTGCCAGCAGAAGCTCCCACAGCTCGAGTAACACTACATTTGATTGGATAATTTTGGAGAGGAATAGCAAGCCAAAGCCTGCCTGCTCCTGCCTCTACTCAGACCAACAGAAATTTAATTTCTAATGTCTATGGGAACAGAATTAGGCCCCTGAGTTACATTTCTGAGGAGTGAAGATGTCCAGAGATCTTCATCACAGTTGTGATGATGTTCAAATCAAAATTTTCATGGAGGATTCCCAAATTAAGCTGATGTCCTATTAAAATGCAACTTAGCTGGAAGGATCTGAGGTACCCAGGAGGCAGCTGTGTGAAGGAGGCTGCAGAAAAATTTGCAAGTGGTTAGACAGACTTTTATAAGTCTGGCAAGCAGCAGGAGACAAGCACCTGGCATACAGTACTGCTTGTGCATTTTTTGGGTGAAATAACTACTAACAAGGAATGGCTAGCTGACATTCATTATGGGAGTAAGGACTAAGGACAAAGCCCATTTTGCAACTGAGTGCCTGATCATTACATCACAGATTTTTTGGGTTAATTCCTTCCTTTTCCATGTACCTTCCATTCTTGACTACACAGAGGCACTGCTCAAGGGGCACAGGTATCAGTCAGGGCAGTGATGGTCTGAAAATGAACAATCCTCAGGAAGGGGAAATGAGCAATCTGAGCTCAGGTATCTCACTTCCCACTGAGAGCTCTACCTGCACTATGACACACCAGCACTAGTGCAGGAAGTTCAGCATCATAATGGAACTTCTAAGCATCCTTCCAAAGACAAGAATCATTTATATCCCAAAATGTACATGAAAGGAGATACAGGCATCTAAGAGGAAGAGGTGGTTCTGGGTCTGAACTGCAGTTTTGTAGAGGTGCTTATCTTGCAGTATCCATTACAAATACAGATTTTAAATAATTCCAGAGACAAACCTCTCTGTGATGTTTAACTACTCAGCATACTGAGCACTGTAAAACCCACAGGAGGTTGCAAACAAACTCTGGTACCTACGTCAGCATTGCTTAGTTCCACACCTGGTCCCCAATGTTACCACTAGCTCACTCACAACGAAAATCATCCTAAAGTCATTATGACCTGCCCATCCCTTCCTGAGGTGCTATGACACTGAAGTCATTCACATGTGCCAGGATTTGAACTCCTAAAGAGCCCCATAAATGCCAAGAATTGTGGAAAAAAAACCTGAAAGCCTTAGAGATAAAAGATGGGTACTGAAAATCAGAGAATATATGTACAATTTTGGGGTTGAATCAAGCTGAGCCTCATTTCTCAGACTTAAAAGTCTTCCCTGTAACAAAGTGTAGCAAATACAGAGGCAAGAGGCAGCACAAACACATTCCCCATCATCATCCCCAGGAAACAAGCAATCCCAAATTCAGTGTGAGACCTGGATGGTGCGCAGAGAATAAGAGAGGAGGCTATACACTGAGTGACAGGGATGAACAGTAAGCTGCTTCTTAATAACCATCCTTTATCCTGCTCACCAAATGTTAGTGGGATCCAGTTGAAAAGCAGCCAGCAACAATGTAACAAAAGAGATGCATTCACACAAGCAACTGAACTGAGGTTTTGGTATCCTCTATCTCCAGGGAAGCTTTCATTTTAGTATTTATTAAGAATTGATTTTGCAAACTAAAATTAACATTGAAGTAGCTTTCCACATTTAACAGTGCATAGTTTAAAGTACTATATTTTGAAATGAGGAGCCCTGTTCAGTAAGGTATGCATTAAAGGAATATACTGACCACTGGGAACAAAGGACAACACGAAAACTGCCAAATTTAGTTACCAAGTAAATTCTAATACATGAATTTTTCAACCATTTAACTACCTAAATATACTTGACAGCAAGCATCAGTAAGCACACTTCTGAAATATCTCACTGTCACACTGGCTTTAATTATGAAATGCATTTTCTCAGTTCTATTTAGTATGATAAAAATTATTTTCCTGGTGGGAGCTGTTGGACACTCATCACACTTGAAAACCACATACTTACATAAGGACACAGGATATCTAACTTTAGGGTCTTTTTTCTTAAATAGTCTTGGATATCCTTTACACAGATTTCTGCCATCAGACAGACATCATAAACATTAGAAATTCAAAAGCAGCCTATAAGAATGTCCATTATGTGAGCTGTCTGAGTATCTGATAGCAACTTCAGATTCTGTTTAAACTATCTATAGAACCAAGGAAGAAAATGGGGAAAAGTGTTCCCTTTTGTGTCAACCTGTTTTGTTTTATTTCTTAAATAATATAAAAGACTACAACTTAACAAGAGTAGGAGATGAAGTGTTATGGTCTGTTACAAAAACCTTTAAAGTAACTTTAGCTGTTGGAAATGGTGGCCAAGAGCCTACCTGCTGACTGCAGAAGGTGACCTGCAGCCACAAGGCACTGCATGTTAACAGCTTTTTAAGTAGCTACACAGAAATAGTCCACATCTGGGGAAAAATCAACATGAATCCTTAATTCAAGAATCACATTTCACTAGTAAAAGAAAGTGTAACAACAATGGTTATCACAGTGCTTCAAGTGAGTTGTGATGTTGCTTACTCATGTGACTAGGAGGAATTTATCATATATGGTGCATTTTATCAAGGGTTTTTAAGATTAATTTATGAGACAATGCCAGCAAAACCCATGATGTTTCAAAAAGAATGAAGAAAGGCCCATCTGTGTGAATATTTCTTTTTTCTTAAAGGACAGAAGAATTAAGTGTTGAAGTTAAACAACTAGTATTTTCTCCTCTGCTGGAATAAGAATAAAAATAAATTCAGGAGATGGGTAAATCACTTTTTGGAGGTATTTCACTACATAAATATTAAAAACGTAATTTGCATGCATATCAAACATTTTATGGAGCCCTAAACTGTACTTTATTCAATACTAAGACTTTCATACAAAATCATATGAGGCAATATATTCCACCTAAGCACTCCACATGGCCTTCAAGAAAGACTCAAGCCAAAAGTGGACTAAATTCATTATTCTGTGAGAGTGGGCACTTGCCAAACACCCTTTTCCAGAGGTCAATCTGGAATAGGAAGCAACTTATTTCTGTTTATACACTGTAGGAGTGTTTACACATTATAACTTCACTGGGCACACACAGGTCTAGAATGTTCCAGGTCAACTACACCTTGCAAGCAGAAAGGATTGTGCCACATGGTAGGAAAAGAAGTCCACGGTACACACACCTTTTCTGACAATACCTTCATCTATTGGGGCCACTGAAGCAAAACAACAAAACGACAAGAAAAAGCTGAGCAACACTGATGTAAAGAAAAAAAAATTGGCTTTTCTCAATCTTCCAAGAAAGCATGCAAATACTTTCAATTCTAAAAAAGCACTTTAATCAACAATGAGGAATAAAAATCTCATTCCTTAGTTTGAAACTGTTTCTTATTTTGAATACCATAATACATTTTTAAAACCACACTTCTGAAACAAATGCAAGCAAAACTGATGTAGAAAACATCTGTCCTCAAAAGATCATTCATGTGATGATGCTGGGCCAGAGCAAGATCATGAAGCAGTGTCTTGCAGAGTCTCACAGACAACAACGTACCAGGGCACGCTGAAGAAGCAGACCAGACCTATTTTTAGCAACCAGAGCTGGATTCTTACTGTATAAAATAGGAGCCTTAAAATATGATCTCTTCATCTTTGTAACCACAACAGAAGATGTTCAAAGAGAGTGGATGCAACTAGTTGGAGCAATTAGGCAAAAAAAAAATATTATATTTTCAATATGCTTAAGCTTCTGCCTCCAGTGATTGAGAGAGGAACATACTCATTTTACCACAGTCATCTGTTCATGGAGGAAAGGACTTAGATCCACAGATTGAAGTAAAGTAACAATAACACCAGACTTCATTTTACTCTCTCAAACCCCAAAGAATCTGAGAATACTGGGAAAACCAAAGGGAAAAAATGGATACAGACATACTATATTGAAAACTAGTACAAGAGGGACCCTACATCTAGTTGCTGTCATACATGTGGTCCCTGCACAGAAGTATGCAGAGAGTGAGCGGGTTAAGAACTAAGTCTTCAAATATTGCCACAAATTCCAAATCACTGTGATGATGACACTGAATGTAGACAGACATAACATTCTGGTTTGTCACTTACCAGTTCCGTGTGAACTTTAAGATGTGCCTGGAGCTTGTATTTGTCTGGGGTGGAGTAGTCACAATGTTCCGTGGGGCATTTCAGCAAAATGTTGCTGTGTTTCTGAACGACGTGACGCTTGAGGCAGTTCTTGGTGATGGAGGAGTAATTACACTGGGAGCAGTAGTACAAATGTTCCCGAGTGTGCGTGCGAACGTGCATGTCATAGTGCACCTGGTACCAAAACAGCTTCCCTGAAAATAAAAACAGACAGGGAGAAACACATTTCTGAACAATTATTAGCACAAGTTCCAATACACACCAATTTTCTTTCAGGGCAAAACACACTGTTTGAATCCTGTCCCTGCTGCCTTTAATGACAAAATAGTTCTAAAGGCCCTTCAGCTACTGAAAATATGTTTACAAAACCCACTTTTGTCTGAAAAAGATTGTGTCATGTGTTCCAAAACAGCTTAACAAGGGCAACATTAATATATATCAATGATCTTTTTTCTTAATGAGACAGCTCTCCTATACAAAAAATCTGAATGTAGTTGTATTCTAAAAGGGATTGTCAAAGTCTTTTGTGTTACTTTCTTTTGTGCTATTCCTTCTTAAAAGTCTTTCTGACATAATAGCACCAAAAAGTGCATAGCAATTTATGTAATGTACAATGTTATGGTGTTATTTTTCAAACTTTGATTCCTTTCCCTTCTCGAGAATGAAGACTACAAGATAAATCCCAAACTGTTTCCTTTCCAGTTATGTAAACACAAAAAAGGTCGGTTGGAATAAAGGGGAATAGGATGTTATTCCCACTTTCATTAATTAAAAAAAAATAATTACAATGAGAATAGTCTTGATCTGATACTGTGCAGTGAAAATTTTCATCTCAAAAAAACCTGGTTCAGAACAAGTCACAAAAATATGCCAGTATATAGGTATCTGTTCTATGGAATGTATACTATCATACATCCTCTCCTAGCAGATGAAAAAGAATCCAAATTTTATACTAAGCTGATAATGAAGGTTAAGCATTAAAGCATGGACTAACTAATGCTGATCACATGTCTAAATCTGCTGTGCTTGGCTTGAAACTTAGGAGTTGGGGAAAGGTGTATCAACAGAAATAATCTAATTCTATCAAATTTCACATCAACAGAAAATTAAGCCTAGCAAAGCATCGTGTTGCTATATTCTGCTTGTGGATTTCTGAGGAGATTTTAGTCATTTCACACTGTTCATACAACAAAAAGTAAATTTTGCCAGACCCCAGAATTCATACTGAACTACAAAATTAATACTGCTACAAAGATAGATAAATACATCAAGCACTATAAAACAGAGCAGGACAGAGATGGCCCACTACAAAACATTTAAAAATCCAAACAAACATAATTCTACTGCTCCTTACCACAATATTCACATTCTAAGTCTCCATAAACCTTCCTTATCCTCTCACACAACTCTGTGTTCATTTGTCTCTTCTGCAAGCTATCCAAGATCTGCATAAAGGCCACAGCTCCACTCCCACTGTCTGAGGTAGCTCCACTAGAAGAGGCTGCCTGTGGACTGGTAGCTGCATTAGCTTCTGGTGCTGGCGAAGTGCTCGTGGTTTCTGCTGAATTTTGAACTGGCAGATTGCTTGTTTCTGATTCACTAGAAGGAACAGATTCATTCCTCTCTTCAGAGATTGAAAGGTTCTCAGTCATTGGATTGTTCTCACTTGGATTTAAACTTTTGTCTTCAGAGAGCAAAAGCTGAATTTCTTCACCCTGCTCATTTACAGAATTGCAGTCATTAACTCGCTCTTCACTTGCAGGAGGAACTTTTAATTCATCAGGACCAGAAGTACCATTTTTCAGCAGAAAGCAATCTGAGGCTCCACAGGACTCAATGTTTGGGACTGCTATGTCTGTTGTCTCACACAGTGTCTCTGTTACATTCTCCACTAGAGGATTTTCAAACTCCATGGAAGGAACCATGTCAATCTTCAAGTCCCCGTTCTGCTGACCGTTCTGGTTTAGCTCTGCAGCTGCTGACGCAGCTTTACAAGGAGGTGGCTGTGGCAGGTTAACAGCATCAGCACTCGTGACAGTCAGGTCATCTGTGCTTTGTGCCAGCTGTTCACCAAGGGCTTCTGGCTGGATATCCCCTCCTGGCTCAAGCAGGCAGAAACTCTGGTTGATAGAACTGGTAAAAACAGAATCTTCCTGCAAATCCGCATGCGCGTCTTTGATATGGGCACGGAGCCTTACAGAACTGACAAACTTCCTCAGGCACACGGAACACACGTACACGAACGGATGCTTTCGGACGTGAAGCTCAAGGGCTTGGTACTTGGTGGCCCCGTGACCACAGAGCTCACAGGCAAAGGGCCTTTCGTCGCCGTGAACGAGCATGTGCCGGTCCCGGTCGAGCTCGTTTTTGAACTTGCGCTCGCAGATCTGGCAGTCGTAGAGCAGCTGCCGTTTGCCCTCGCGGGTCATCAGCCGAAGCTCGTCAAACACATCCTTCACCTTCTTGTCCTGCAGGTCATGCGTCTCCTTGATGTGCTTGATCAGATTTTTAACATCTGAGTATTTCTTTTTGCAGAAGCGACAATGCTGCTTGATTTTCTTATGGACTCTCTCGACGTGGACTTTGAGGTGGCCCTTGCTGAGGCACGTGAAGGTGCAATAGTCGCAGCTGAACTTCTCCCCCGTGTGCTTCCTCAGGTGAACGTTCAGGTTGGCTTTGATGGCACTGGCGTAGCTGCAGTGGGAACACTTGTAAGGCTTTTCATTGGTGTGGATCCTCAAATGGGCTTGGAGGGAGTGTTTAAATTTGAACACCTTGTTACAGTATTCACACGTGAAAATCTTCAGCTGCGTTGGACCCAACCTAAAAAAAAAGACAAACCAGTTATGTTTACAATGTTGACACTTGGTGAACGTAATATGTAAAAATTTCCCTAGATATTCATAATGGACAGAAATATTTATTTTAAAAAGGTATTCTCCACAAGCGTTTAGAACTCTGCAACTCATGTGGAGATTATTTTAAGCTCTTTCTTTATTTAAAAGGCTCAGGAAATATTTCAGCTTCACAGAAATTGATAGGGAAGGATTTTATTCACATTCTGCAAGAATACAAATTTAAGTTCTTCAAAATTACCTGCTTGATTTCATTGCCTGTTCATACGGGGTTTGCTGAATGGCATATTCTTGATACCCTCTTCGTTGTGATGGGTCTTGAACTGTTGCCTCTGGAGTGGGTTCACTTTCTTGGGGAGCAGCCTCAACGGGAACAATTTTTGTGGCTCCTAAAAGCAAAACCAAAAAATGTTCATTCAAAACGTCATATTAAAGCATGCATTGTCTATAACATACAAGCATAAACAAAACATTACACTCTGTCATCATTAGTTCAGCTACTTTAGTTTCTGTTGTTAAATTCATGTGCACAAAATGATGGATACACTTCCAGAAGACACCACTACTTACACCATAGATCTGCTTAAAAACCACACCAGGACTATTGGTTCTGAGGGCTCTTCATGGTGCTTGATACATATGAGTGTGAGATCCTACAGCCAAATACCCTCAGCCTGAAAAAAACTATAACTTCAAAATTAAATTTTTATTTTTATGTTTCCTTCTCATGCTACATCCCTTGAAAGCTTCAGCCAAGCTGTTTAATCAGTTCCACAAATAAGACTGGGAAAAATTCCCTGTTTAGTCTATACTTAAAAGTCTGCACATCTTTTCCTTAAACACATCTTTTACTGCTTTTATTTTGGGGCATGCTGCCACCCCCTCAGAATAAAGTAATACGTTCCATGTGCACTTCTCTAAGTCCTTTAGAAGCAGGAATAAAGGGGCTCAACCAAATGCAACAGCATCTAATTCTGTCCCTCAGACCTTTATAGTTAGCTGAGGCAAAATTAAGCATATTTTGACATGTGATTGAGTTGGCATCGTTTAGCTGGGTGTTCTTTATTTTCTGAACAGGGGCAATAAAAGCTGCACCCATAGCACCCCATTATACATCCCTACTTAGCACTGGAGGTATTGAAAATCCATATAAATATTAATTACACTAGGAAAGCAATGCTGGAGAGAAGGGAGAAAAACAGAGATCCTGTGGGTCTTCTAGGGTGATTTGAAGTCAGAAACAGAGATATTTTAAGAAGAGGCCTTTTGGAAACACACAAGGCTACTGAAGCTTTTTGTATCAGATGGGGTACAAGCCAACTCTGTAAATAAAGACTGCAATAACTACTGCTCACTGAACTGGACAAATCTAAAAATAGCACTTTTTTGACTATTTTTTTTTTTAAATAATGCTTTCAGTTCTGTACTAAAGATTCTGCCAGTTGATCAGAACTGATCTTCCAAGTTTTCAACCTAACTGTTGCAAGAACTTCCTAACTTTTATTCTTCTTGTCACTCCCCCTCCCACAAATGCCAGGTTGTCCAGCAGGACTGCATCCCCTAAACTGCACCAGAGCAGCCCAGTGGAACAGAATCATGTCATTACAGTACAGGAGATGTGGTTCAACCAGTGGGGTCAGTATAAAGATGCTAAAACAGACATTAGACACCAGACCTGTGTTCCCACATTTGAGTATTTTAAAAAATGGAAGCAAGTTCCCCTTTATTTAGAATGACCCAGTAAAAGGAGAATAGATCTTGAACTGCTCTACATGCATGGCTACCTCCTTCAGGCCTCCCATTTCCTGAACGTGAGGCAAAGACAGTCATTAAATGCTCTGCACTCACCCTCCTCTGTGCCCTTTCAGGATGTTTAAGCATTTCCTAAAAAGACTTCTGAACTGTTTAATAGATCTTTGTGTTATCAGTGTAAAACTTTAATTACCTAAATTAGGTGGACTAGGTAAGTACTAACTCATCAGTATTTTCCATACTTGGAGTGGACAGAGGTGATCCTAGCACTACAGCCTACATTCCCTGTGCAGTTCACAGAGAGGCAAATACCTCTAAAGACCTACAGAGGGAGATTCAATCCTTCAAGCTTACTGGCAGAGTAGTACTCACAGTAGGCAACCACATCCCCACAGGTTACATAGTTTCTTCCTACCCTTAGGACACAGGGAGGCATTAAGAAACATTAGATGCCTCCATCTACATGGGCTGCTGCCTAAGCACGGGCTGCTAATGGACCAGTAGCCACAGCAATCACTGCTGTGTCATACACTAATGACTAAAGCATATGCCCAGAAAGTGAGAAACCTGGGATTTAGGCTCTATCCAACCTAGCAGGTAGTGAACCCAGATGTTCCACATCCCAGAAGAATGCCCTCAATGTGTCTTTAAAGGCAGTCACAGGCTAGGGGAAAAGTGTAAGAACAAGGCAAACAGATACAAGGCCTCATTTTCCATTAAAAACATCTTACACCATTAAAGAAGATAAAACCTTTCCTAACTGCTTCCCTGGACAACCATTTCAAGAAGGCAGAGTATACAAGTACCAGGGGAAAAGAAAAGGTCAAATGCACTGAACATTTCTTTTACAAAAATCCTTCCTCCAGCACTTTGATATCTCTATTTTAAATGCAGAATGGACTTTTACTAGCCTTCATTTATGCCTTTTGCTTTCCTCTTTTCAGTCAATATCGCCTGTTTTAAGTCAATCTGCTATAAGGGAAGCAAGATCTGAGTTCCTCATGACATTCTGACAGCAACTTCTACAGATAAGTATTACCCAGAGTGCCTTATCTCTGGCTCAAACTCAGTGAATGCTCTCTAACCTCCTACTGTCTGTCCCTTAGAAAAGTAGCTTGCCCTTCACTAGGAAGCTCGTCAATACTTTTCAACAGTCTAAAAGGTAATCACACTGGAAGGAATTATTAATAAAACAGGAAAAATCATCAACCACATTCCTACTAAACTCCATCTAAATTCTGTAAGCTTCCTACAACTTCAAGTATGTACAAAAAAAAAAGTATATAGAAGAACCAGAAAATAGTAACACAGGCAAAATTGGAAGTATTTTGTTTGGAAACAGGATACATATCTCAGAGATATCCAGCATGGAAGAGAAATGAATGAAAAAGGAATATCAGAAAGACCTCTAAATTAGTGATACTATGAAAAAAAAGTGTGAATAATCATTATTTCATAAAAGAGCAGTTTAAAGGAGTAAGTAGTCAGCAGGTTTAAAACAAAACAAGTACGTGTGCTCTCACCCTGTGTATAATTAAATTATGGAACAATTACTGCACAATGCTACAGAGATTGAAAAGATAAATGTATTCAAGAGGGATTTACACAAATTAATAGATATGCATTAAATAAGATGCAACCACCAGAGTAATCTGTCTAAATCACAGAGGCTTTACATATTAAGTTTCTTATTTCCTTCCTACAGAGATGCTGCAAGCTGCTTTTGGAGTATGATCCTGATCCAACCTGATCCAACTAGATCAATCTTTAAGCTATGGAGTTGGTTTTTTTTTTCTCCTTTCTTTAAGTTGAAGAAGAACTTCATAATGTAGGTACCTTGTTCTGTACAGGCAAAATAATTTGCTAAGAATATGAAATGAGTATTTGTTTTTTTACAAACTCTCTTTGACTGAGCATATCTTCTCAGCTTCTACAATAGCACGTCCTACGGGACGTGCTCCAAACGTGTATGACCCCTGCTGAGAGTTTCCAAAGTGAAACCAACAGAATCTAACCCTACCCATAACCCTCCATGTTCCTCATGCAAACCCACCCCTCACCCCCAAAATAAAGCTTAAAAAAAAAAAGCCAGAAGAACCTTCTATAGGCTATCTCACAATAAGGCTAAGCACATTTTTACTCTGACAAAGAAACAGAAGCACAGACCTGTGTATGGTGGGCTGAAGATTACTGTTCCTTTCAAGAGAGGTGGATATTAGCCTGGCTGAGCTAAATCAATGTGTAACCCCATGGTAACATAGATACTGGGTCAAATTCATAGAGAAAAGCTTTACATTTTCCTAATCTTTCTTAATTCCACATTTGCTTTAAATCATAATGAGGTTAGCTTCTTTTCCCTAGCCTTCCACTCAACAATATGCTCGTGATGCCTCAGAAGTGACAGCACAAGAGCTCACAAAGAGGACTGGAGCAGGGATCTGGCTAAAATCTACATCATGGCTCTCCTTCTGCAAATATAAAATTAGTTTTCTGGGTCCAAAGGACAGGAACGTGTGGCCAGGGGCTGGAGGACAAGGCTGCTCCTGTGTCAGCAACACACTGACCCAGCTAGTATAAGAAGGGGTCGTGCCAATCCTCCCCCTTCACCCCGAGAGACTCATTTTGTCACCACTTTCCCCCTTCCCACTTTCAAAACTTGTGTGACCCCAGTGTGAGACATTTTAGTATGCAAAAATGGAAGGAAAAAAAATTCTCTGACAGAGCAAATCTGTACATGTATGTGGGTATGTGTATGTATGTGCACGGGCACGTGTACATGTATTTATTTTACCAGTTTTTTGAATTGTTTCACTGCAGGCTGACACAAGCATTAGTGCAAAAAAGGGGAAGTAAACTGGGAAATAAGAGACAAGCAGGAAAGCTCCCTTGGCAACAATCTGATATTAAATCTATTCAGGTGTCTCACAAGCCCACAATCATCATTTTATGAGCTACAAAAAAGGAGTCATCTCAAAGAGAACAGCCTGTTATCAGTTTAACAGAAATGACGGTCATCAGTTCAGCTAAGTCAGGCCCCAAACAGCAAACAAACCCAATCTTCTGGGACTTCTTCCTCACTTCCCAAAAATCTCAATGGGAGAAGGCACCAAGTGTTCAGAAATTACAGCACAGAGTATAGGAGCAGGACCTTTTATGGACAGCAGTTCCTCATCAGAAATCAAGGAGAGAAAAACCTGCACAGTGTAGCATTAGGAATTCATAGCAGAAAAAAAATACAACTCCTTTTAAAATCAAAAAAATAATTAGGATCGGGAATTGAAATACCTGATGCTAATTTTGTGTATCTTCAGCTCTACCAAGAACCTCAAGAAGTCTACTACTGACCATCTTCAGAGGAACTTAACTCTTCTAGTAACAAGTTGAGTCTTTAAAATACCACAGGACTCACACAAAACAAAAATTTATATGTCCAAAGTAGAATCTCTCCTGAATCAAACAAACTGAGCGTGAATGATAAATTTGTTCCAGAAGCCTTGGTGATATAACAGAATCTAAACATTGGAAATAAATAAAAAAAACAGAAGATTGAATATTTGGCAAAGTTCACTGGTTCTTAAAAATACATTATGAAGAAAAGTATCTGCTGACCAAAACCAAGTATTCTTAGATGTACCTGTAATTGTAGTTATTCCCTCTCATCCTTAATGGTGATGCTTATGCAAAACTGTCCTACAGCTCATCTGACACCAGGCACGTGTGGTCATGAACACAGAACTCCCTCTTCAGGGTCTCTGGGTCTCTCTAGTTACAGAATCACAGAATGGCTGGGATTGGAAGGGACCTTAAAGATCATCTAGTTCCAATCCCTCTGCCATGGGCAGAGACACCTCCCACTAGACCAGGTTGCTCAAAGCCCCATCCAACCTGGCCTCGAACACCTCCAGGGAGGGGCCATCCACAGCTTCTGTGAGCAACCTGTTGCAGTGTCTCACCACCCTCATAGTGAAGAGCTTCTTCCTTACAGCTAATCTAAATCTCTCCTCTTCCATTTTGAATCCATTACCCCTTGTCCTAGCACTACAAGTCCTTGTAAAAAGTTCTTCCCAGCTTTCCTGCAGGGACCCTTCAAATACTGGCCACAAGGTCTCCTCACACCCTGCTCTTCTCCAGGCTCAACAATCCCAACTCTTTCACCTTGTCCTGTAGGAGAGGTGTTCCAGCCCCGTGATCTTCTTTGTGGCCCTCCTATGGACCCACTCAAACAGGTCCATGTCTCTCTTACACTGGGGGGCCCACAGTTGAACACAGTACTCCAAGTGAGGTCTCCCAAGAGCAGAGAGGGAGAAACACTTGCGCCAACCTGCTGGTCACACTTCCCCTGACACAGCCCAGGACGTGACTGGCTTTTTGAGCTGTGAGCACACACTGCTGGCTCGTGTCCAGCTGCTCACCCACCAGCACCTCCAAGCCCTTCTTTGCAGTGCTGCTCTCAAAACCCTGCTCGCCCAGCCTGTATCCATGTCTGGGATTGCCCCAGCCTTGCACTATGCCTTGTTGAACTACAGGAGCTTTGCACGGGCCCACCTCTCCAGCCTGCCATGGTACTTCAATGCCTGCCCAGAAAAAATTCTACCACTTCTATTCAAACTGAATATGAAGGTGTTTTTTACTTTCCTTCTAAGCACAGAGGTTATTCATAGGTGACCTCATCCAGCTTCCTCTACCAGCACAACCAGAAATGCATTTTAGCAAACAAAGTCCAAGTATAACACAGATCTCAATATCAAAAAGATATGAAAGAGCAACACAGACAATCCAGCTAGCTTTCAACCCACAGCAACAAAATAAATAATGCATTCCAGTTGTTCTGAGAGCTATAAGCAAAATAAATATTCAGAAATGTTAGCAAAAATGAAAGGAGAACAATAAAGCTACAAAGCTGAAAATAATGGACCAAACTATTAAAAAGGGATTTTGTCAGTCAGGTGAGTGAAAGGTTGGTATAAACAGGCAAATGCCAGTCTAGTTTTAATATAAAAAGTTTGAAATTATTCCAAAATCCTTTGATGAAAAGGCACTGTAGAAATTTATGAAGAGTCCTTTAATCACTATATAAGAACTTTACTTGATTTTCAAACATATATACATATTTTCTGTAAAACTCGTTGCATGCATAAATATTAAGTTACAAATATACTAAGCTGTTTGGGTTTTCATAAGCAAATTTACATTTATCATAAACACACACACAAACCAAGAGATATAATAAAGACATTACAAGGGAAAAATATTTTCCTTTTTTTTTTCATTTTCTTCTTTAAAACTATTCACAGACTAAACTTAACTGATGTTACTGCAGATAACTACACACAGATCCAGCATCTGTCATACATATGAAGAAATGTGATGGTAGTTCTGAAATTGTGTAGCTGCCAAATGCAGATTCTGATCAAGATAATCAAATAATACTGAATGCTTTTCAGATAATAAACATCCCAAACATACATTATTAAACATCCCAAATAAACATTGGGTCTTAGCCCAATGACCATTACATACAGTGTCAGCATGGACAAATCTGAGTTTGATTATAGAATTGGTGATTCTGATTACCTGGAATAGCTTCATGGGCTGTCAAAACCACACTTATAATAGGATTCTTAGCTCCTGAAACCTGTTCAGGATCCTTAGTGGGTGGAGTTTTCTCTGGTTTCTGAACTCTGGGCCTTTTTGGAGTCTTCTCTCGTTCATCTTCCTTCCTGTCAAGGTCAACGTCAGAATCATTACCTAAAGAGCAAACACCAAAAAGAATTTAACTATGTACAAAAGAAATGCAGGTAACACAGTCACTAACACTACAAGGAAATTTAGGAAATATGAATGCTACTGTAGAAGGAAACACGTTATCAACACCAGACATGCTGCACGAGTCCCTGTAAAATGGAACTTTTTTCCCAACTAAACTAGTGTAATACTTATACAAACAGGGAAAAGAGACAAAACACAGACAAAAAAAACCCAAATATTTTTAAATGGACTGTCAGAAATATTTGTATTTCTAAATGATCTTGACATTATTGTGGATTTTTTATGACAAATTGTGCAAATCTGTAGAATTTCTCATGATTTTACTATTAATGAACAAATTGTTTTTCCTCCTTTCCATATGTAATCGTTGTGATGACTTCAGAATCATTTTTCCTAGCACTGGATTCATTATCCATCTCATTTAATGGAAAGTCTTCCAACAGTCTCTCTGTATTAGGTTTTTTTCCCCACTGTTAGAGTGAATCAATAGCCTGAAATATGTTTTTCTTTTTCTGTGTTGATTCAAAAAGAATTAAGGATCCTAACTCCTAACATGCAACTCTTAATTTTGAAGGCCTGTACTTCTAAATCATTCCCTAAGTGCTGCTGTTCAGAATGTCTTCAGCCTTTTAAACTGGGTCACTTTTTGGACCTGTTAACTAGGAAACAATGCAATGGTTGTAGTCAAAACACTGATCTGAATAAAATCAGTAATCAGCTGTGTTGCTCCCTGAAGCTATTTCTTCCTTAAAGCAAATGAGGAATTTCTTATTGAAATTCTTAAAAAAAAAAAAGCTTATATATAAACATTTAGAAGCATAAAAACAGAGGGTTGCAAGTTTATATCAACAAAATTTCTTTCTATTAGATGAAGCAGTAGAAAATGCAGGCTAGAAAACAAATCTGGCAAATTATGGCATTATGCAAACATACCAAAGATAATGGGTGAGGAAAGCAAAAAACTGATAGAAGAAAATTATAAATAAACCCAGTGAATTTTTTTTCTTTTATCCTTGAATCCAAAGCAGCTGACATAATATCCAGAGTAAGTGGTTCAATGTATATTCATAGCCTGCTGTAGCTGCTCTTACTGGGAAACAATATATAAATAAAAACACAGTAAGAGTAAAGCTGAGGTATGTCTAGAGTTGTTTATGGCATGCAAGTAGCAGAAGCAGTGGAAAGATGCTACGTGGAAATGGCTGTGGTTTAATTTCAGTAACATTTTGTTAATACTCAGCTGATACCCAAATGTGTCTGTCTCCCCTGGTCTTATCTGAATGGGACAAGGGGTTAAAGAGTGCTGGCTGTTCCTCAAAGGGTTAAAGAGTGCTGGCTGTTCCTCCAGAAAATGAAGCACAAAAGCACAAACCGAAGTAGCATAGCTGGGACTGACAATGTAATTACCACCTGGATAAATGCAAACTCCTCACAAGACACAAAACCAGAAGGAAACAAGGTCTGTAGGAATTATTTTCTCAGGCATAGTGGCAGAAATGTGTGCAGTGATAGCTGTTAATGACCTGCTACTCATCTGTAAATCTGAAATTCGTATTTACAACACTTATAATGAGCAACAGCCACATAGCAAGCTGAATTCAAACACAGACAGCAAGTCATCTTCCCATGGAGTCACTTTAGAAATGTTTTTGCCTCAAGCTTCCAGTTTCTAGATTATAGAAGATTATGCTCTGCCTTGAAAGCCCCTGCTCTTCATTCCTTGATACATGCCTCTTCTCAACTACCTTTTTCTCTGTAGATTTCGATGAGTTTGGAAAATATTGCTGCTTTACAGATACAAAGAGTCTCATTTGTCCTCATTTATATTCTTAATATAGTTGTAAATTATTGATTGATCTTGAAACCACTTAACTCAAATACCAACATTTCTCTGCAACCCTTCAAAGGGATAGTTGAATACAAAGAAATATGCCATTAACCAGAAATTGCTTGTGCAGTGTTTTCTTTTGGTGTGATGCATGGGGGTGGAAGGAAACAAGCAGATTTTTCCACATTTCCTTCACAAAACAGTCTCTATTAGTTTATTATCAACAATAAAATGAATCATGGCAAATTTCACAGCAGGACCAGGCCAGCAACAGAAGAAAACCTTCTCATAAAGAATCAGAATACACAAAGGGTATAAACTGCTTATCAAAATGTTTCCCTAATGCTACTTCACATATTGTTAAACAACAAATATAAAAATGAATTGTGTTAACTGCTTTGCTTCAGTGGACAGTAAGATTTAGTGATAGGGGAAAGAAAGAAAAAAAAAAAAAGTCTGGTATACCTGTGGACAAAAGGCCAAGTCATTTTTTGCATGTTTTAGCTAAAAGGAATCCAGAACTACAGATCAAAAGGAATGGTGTGATGAGGACAACAGAATTTTCTCTGCTTGGGATCACATAATGAATTCCTAGTAGGCATGTGAACAAAATCCAAGCACCCTACTCCTAAATCCTCCTTTCCAAACATTACAAAGTAAGGATTAGTCAATTTAATGAGGAAATAAAGTGCTTGAAAACAAACATCAAAACTGTTTTACTGCCTTTTCATGTTAACCTATATATTAACTTCTGAATATTGGAATACTACTAAAACACGGGAATAAAATACAGGAAAAGGATGAACACAGATGAGTTTGTTAGTGATCCACACTAATGAATAACTATTAGTACAGTAATAATGTTGCTGTTTCATGCACACAGAAACCTTGTACACAGATGCTAAGCACTAACTATGAAGATTACAGCCATGTGGAAATATTTTCTTAAGAAATCCAAAGCTGGGAAGTACTCCAAAGGACTGAAATTCTACTTCCATCCTCTCAATTATGAGCTGAGAAGATCCAGCAACTAACAGGACTACATTCATATAAAGGGAGACCTATAAGTCATTTTAAGATGATTTATGAGAAAATGGAGCATATGCCACTCAGCACAGCCAAGCAAAGTTTCTCCAAGCAGTGAGGGTCTTTGCTCGCTCCTAAACAGGTGTATTTAGAGGAACTGCCTCACTCTGCATTTCCCTTGCTGAGCAGTCACCTTAGCACTCTGTCAGCTGGCACCTCCACTCAGCAGATGAATAACCTGACCTCCCCTGTCTAGCACCAGGCATTTTAAATGCCTCCTTCTGAGTGGGCAAGAAACAAAATGCCTCGTCTGTGCCTTCCAACATGGTTAAGAAACAGTTGTGCCTGTGTTGACCAGTAAAGCTGCTGTCCACTCCAGAGGAGTCACTGCTTCCAGAGCCCCATCAAACCAGATTGTTCATCTGTCCCTCAATTCTATCCAAGTCATTAATTGAAGGTGCTGCTCTCTGCATTCACAGTTGGAAATACAACATCCTGGAGGCACAGCTACACATACCTAATTGGCACGTTTTTAAGCTACCCTTCATTGAAATCACTATTTTTTACCCCCTGAAAGATGCTGGTATTTCATAGTAGAACGAGAGCAGCCTGGGAAAAGAGTCAACTGGCCATTGAGAAGGAAGACATGCAATTGCTTCTCCTGCAGAGACTGACATACCACTCACAGAAAGAATTAATTTAAATTAGAATCCAGCCGAGGGCAAAGCCATTTTAAACTAAGCCCAAAAGGGCTATCTGTAAGAATTATGCAGGCTCCTACTTCAGAAGCAATGAATGGTGCACTCAAAGAAGAGAATCTGTTCACTGCTGTCATCTGTCTTCCACCCAAATCCCATTCCCTAGACATCAAATGTCCTCTCTTAGATCTGCCAGACATTCAGGTACACTGCAGAGTGGGAGAGGGAGAGTGCTTTAAATAATTACCTGTTGTCTATCTCTCAAAATACACAAGTAACTTAGAGGCTGATCCAGCCCAGCAACAGCCAAAACCTCCAAGCCCATCCCATCCCAGCAGCAGAGACTGAAGCAGCTCCCTGTTCTGGCTGTTCCGCAGGGAT